AATAAGAGATGTTTTAAAATGTTTGGACTTCATTTGTTTGAATGACTATTTATCTTTCATTATATCTTTATTACTTTAAAGTTTATTATCTAATTATTTATTAAAAATACTTTTTACATTTTAAAAAATAGAAAAAATATTTAAGTGAAGGGTAAAATGGTAATTCAACTTTGAGACTAGGAGCTTCCCACTTATAATAATGCTAGTTTTTGAACACGTGCATTGCACGTGTATCCGTATTATTTTAAAAATATTTTGAATTAATGCAAGTTAGTTATAGTAGATTGAAGGGAGAAAATGCAAGTTTAAATTGATGAATGGCGAATTTATTTGACCGACTTTATTGATGGGCATAAGATTATTAGGTATGATTTGAACGATTAAATTTAGCGGTAAAACTATAATAATATTCAACTTTACCGTTTGATTGATTTTTTTATATTTCAACAACAGAATTTATGTGTGAATACAAGTGACATTGGCTAGAAAGAAATACTTACTTCTAGTAGTTTTTCGCAGTGTATCCTTAAGAAATGGTAGTCTCTTTCCCTTAAGGTTCAATTAATATGTCTTCTTTAGGATGAATATTAGTAATGTCAATAATGGTGTAAGGTTGCAAATAAATAAGATTTCTACTGTCCCACTTTACCTAGTTAGAATTTCTGCAAACAAAAAGTGTCATATAAATTGAATTAAGGAAATAGTTATTTGTGAAATAGATTAGTAATTACTGACATTAAAAGTTCTATTAAAATAATAGTTACAAGTATATGATCTTTTTTCCTTTTTCAAAATTATAACTATTTCAATTTGTAAATTTGAAAAAAATATATTAAAATTAAATATCTTTTAGATACAATATAGATAATTATTTCAAGCATTTTATGTATTTATCTCATATGGTAATAGAAAATGAGTTCAAGATAGACCAAATAATAAAATGGGAAAAGGGTCAAATATGTCCCTAAACTTTTCGAAAAGGTTTAAATATGTCCCTCGTTTAAAGTTTGGTCCATTTATACCCTCGCCGTCCAATTATTGGTACAAATATGCCCTTATGGGCGTTAGTTGACCATCTCAAAATATCCAGCGCATTTTACTTTTCTTTAATTGCCCAAATGAATTTTCCACGTCATTTTAATATTATATCGTGGCATTTATATTACAAAAGAGAAAGGATCAAATATGCCCCTAAAAATTCGACCCATTAAACCCTTTTATTACCCATATTTTATGGTTCAATTATACCCCTCTTTTAAATAACTTATCCTACCCATATCCGACCCAAAACCCATATCCCTTTTTCCCCAAAACAAATCCCTAATTTTGCTAAACTTCCTTTTCCCCTATTTTCAGGTTTGCTGCGTATGAGAACAAAGGAAATTAGCGATTTGTGTTCTTGGGGGAAATTAGCGATTTGTGTCCTTTAGGAAATTAGCGATCTCATGTTCAGGTTTGCTGCGTATGAGGACGAAGGAGATTAGCGATTTGTGTTCTTGGGGGAAATTAGCAATTTGTGTTCTTGGGGGAAAAGGAAGTTTAGGAAATTAGGGATTTGTTTTGGGGAAAAGGGATATGAGTTTTGGGTCGGATATAGGTAGGATAAGTTATGTAAAAGAGGGGTATAATTGAACCATAAAATATGGGTAATAAAAGGGTTTAATGGGTCGGATTTTTAGGGGCATATTTGACCCTTTCTCTTTTGTAATATAAATGCCACGATGTAATATTAAAATGACGTGGAAAATCCATTTGGGCAATTAAAGAAAAGTAAAATGCGCTGAATATTTTGAGGTGGCCAACTAACGCCCATAAGGGCATATTTGTACCAATAATTGAACGGCGAGAGTATAAATGGACCAAACTTTAAATGGGAGGCATATTTAAACCTTTTCGAAAAGTTTAGGGGCATATTTGACCCTTTTCCCTAATAAAATACATTATACAATTGCATTGCACTCTTGTGTATCCTGCAAATTTTAACTTTTCAATTGTTGATAAAAAAGTAAAAGGCAAAATGATTAAAAAAATAGATATTTTTTTAATAATAAATGTAAATATACGTCAAAGGCTTACATTTTATTGGCCTAATTGTTGAAATCCTCTGTGAGTTTAGCTTCAAAATACTTACTAATATAAATTTAAGTATGGTATTCCAAATCGATATATCTAAATTGAAGATTAATAATTAATAATTAAAGAAGCACAAAAGGAGAAGGTGAAAACATTATGAATCATTACTAAAATAAATATAAGAGAATTCAAGAAGATGAAAATTTGAAAAGTAAAAACTTATTTATACTGTCATATCTAAAGAATTCCCCGTAACTATGACAATTTGTATACTCAATAAAAAATGATAATATTAGAGATAATTAAATCAATCAAAATTCTAATTAGTAAAAATTCACAAAAAAATTACTCATTTTCCTTAATATGGATATAATGCATTAAGGTTTTGCATGGAAAATCAACTCCGAACTCATATTTATGATAATTTCACATTTAATGGTATCTGATATATTACAAAGTCCTTGAATAAATAAACTTTTAGGCATTTCAAAAGTTACGGTTACACTTCTAAAATACATGCATTATCAAAAGTTACAAAATTAAGGGCAAATCAAAGGTTGCAAATGTTTGGACTGCGTTTTTTTTTGTTGTTGTTATTTGGATTAAGTTTTGTCTTTTTGACATGATTAATATTTAATTAATTAAATAATAGTATATGATATGATTATATGAATATGGATTAGTATTTAATTAAAAATTTAATTATTTTTTAATTTGTTATAAGGGCTAAATGGTAACTCAATTTTGAAGATGGAAGCTTCCCACTTATAATAATATATGATATGATATATATAACTGTTGTCTTAATTCTTTATCTATCTTGAAAAGGTTGAGAAATTGTTTCTGATAAATCCTTGATCTTGCCTCAAGTAAAATATAATAAATATAAAGTATGTAACACAAATATGATAACAAAGAAGAAATTGTAGCAACAACAGATACTACGATGAGTAATCAAAGTTAAGTACATAACATGTACGTAATACTAAAATTACAGAATAAGATAGTATGAGAGTAGTAATAACAATAATAATATTGATAAAGAAGCTAGAGTATGCTTGACTACTTCCTAACTTTCGACTTTAATTCTCAAAATTTTATATTTTTCTATCAAAGATCATTTCCTCGATAAGTTGTATGTATATCATGTTTTATCTAATCACCTCCTTCTCAATATTTTATTCAACTTACTTCTACCTCATTCGGTACCCACCACACTAAGGGGGAGATAAAAGAAATTATCTCAAGATCTTGAATTTCACTTGTGTCTTCAATTCCTTCTGTCTCAGTTCATGTAACATCATTGGAGTTTCAAGTGTCAATCAGATTTTTCTTCAATTAATATGTTTATATGTAACGTTTGAATATTTTAATTAAGTTATTTATTATTGTAATATATTATACTTTTTCCATTGTTTTGAAATGTATAAATCTTATTTCAAAAAAGCTTAATATTAGTTGTGGTTTCGAGTCAATGGGCAAAATCTATTTATTCGTGTTGAAGGTAAATACTAGTAGTATATATGACTCTTGTTTTTACTCCTATAAACTGCCCAAAAACATTTTACAACACCTAAAATTTTGACACATTTTTATTTTTAAAAATATAGTAATAGATATCTTAATAACTCAATTAGTTGGCAATTTAAACTTTTACTTTATTAGTGAAAGTTCAATTTTTGGCTTTATAATTTCCTTTCCTATTTCTCCTATCCCAAATATATAAAACGTGAAATTAATAATAGACAATTAAGACTTAAACACTCTTCATTAATACTTATATATAACACTAAATTGACTTCATCATTGAATAATTGACCATAAACAAATTCAAACAACTTACTTAAAATAATATACATCTGAAAAGTGAATCTATCATTGACACAAAATAACACACTACTTCAATCATAATATATTAATTGACTTAGTTATAACTATTTAAAAAAAACACTAATTCAATCATAATATATTAGTAATTGACTTCATACTTGGTTACAAACATTAAAATAAAAAAACCAGTTCAATCATAATATAATAATTGACATCAATATTCTTGTCTCCTTAATCAACATCATTAGTGTTCCTTGAACACAATAATTAAAAATTATGTACTACAAGTGAAATATACATAAATAATGATTTAAAATAATAGTGAAAATGAGGATAAGTGCAAACGTGGCAAAAGAATTTAGCAGTATTTGATCCACAAGGTGCAAAGGGTCCATAGGAATAGAAAAGAAGATTTCATACAGCTAGGCTGCACGTATCATTTTTTCCTAAATTCACTTGATTTATTTTCCTTTCTAGTTAAAAAAAAATGACACTTTTTTATATTTAATATTTTTTCTATTTTAATTCATTGTTTGATCTATTTTTATTTTTAATCAATTTAAAAAAGAATCATTATATTCTTTTTTAGCAACTTTATAATTTCAATCTACTCCTTTGAAACCATTAAAATCTTCTTACCTTTCTTACACGTTGTGTTAAATCAAAATAGGTCACTCAATTTAAAACAAAAGAATCATATTCTTAATGAAATGATTTATAGTCATATAAATTTATATCAGATCGTAATTTTCAAAACATGCCATATGTATCGATAGGAGAAAATTAAAAAATAATAAGTTATAAATTAAACTCATAAAATTTAAATTTTAAATGCCGGTGGCCTATACGGAGACGCTATAATTGACAGCTAAAGCCACTGGTATTTGCTGTATCCAAAAAAATAATTCAGACGTCATTTTCTCTGTCATTAATCTTATTACACTATTGTGTCCAATTCCAAAAATGATGCTCACATTTCCCGTCTGTTTCCTTCTTATTATTCTTGAATAAGTGAAACAACGGCCACAGAGTTTTTTTCCCTGACTTGGTTTGTTTTCCCATTATAAAATTTTGGTGTTTCTTCTTTTTCTGAACCTAAAAGGTTTGATTTTTTTATTCTTCTTTGCTTCATTTCTTTTCTTAGTCATATTATGTTGATTTTAGAAATGGGGTTTAAAAAAGAGTGATTTTTTAAGCCATTCTTGACTTGTTCTGTTTGTGTTGTGTGCAGGTTTTTGGTTATTTAACTTCTTTGTTTCCTTCTTTCTGTAAGGTATAATAAGGCAAAATCTTTCTTTCTGTTTCTGAGGGTTTTCTTGTTTGGGGGTGGGGTGGGGGAGGACAAGTAAGGAAAAGTAGAGGAACTATTGAAGTTTTGAAGAGTTATGTCATGCTTGTCTATATTTAGTTTCCTTTTTGCTCTATTTTATATGATCAAGAAATTCACTTTTTCTTGATATAGAAAAATCATTTTTTTTAAAACCCCCTTTTGACTATTAAGTATTGAATTTGATGATTTTGAGATTGCCTTTTACTGTGTGCCTAAACATACTGTTTTTTTTCTTGATATGCAGTAGTTTTAGCCATGAATCCATATCTTCCTGAATGGAATATTGAGACTGAACTTCCTGCTCCACATCAAAAGAAGCCTATGGGGTAAATAATATATGTGTTTGATTACATAACCAAAGTAAACTAAATTTGTTTTTTAAACAATGATCTTGAATTGGTTTCAATTGGATGGTCTTTTCTGTAGATTTGATCATGAGCTAGTGGAGTTGTTGTGGCGAAACGGGGAGGTAGTATTACATAGCCAAACACATAAAAAACAGCCAGGTTATGATCCTAATGAATGCAGACAGTTTAACAAACATGATCAACCAACAATAAGAGTTGCTGGAAATCAGACTAATTTGATTCAAGATGATGAAACTGTCGCGTGGCTAAACTGCCCTATCGATGATTCGTTTGACAAAGAATTTTGTTCCCCTTTCTTATCTGATATTTCAACAAATCCTCACCTGGGGGAGGAGCCTGATAAGTCAATTAGGCAATCAGAGGACAATAACAAGGTTTTCAAGTTTGATCCTTTAGAGATCAACCATGTTCTTCCGCAATCACATCATTCTGGTTTCGATCCAAATCCAATGCCACCTCCAAGATTTCACAACTTTGGATCAGCGCAACAGAAACATCATATAGTAGGGGGGGATCAGAAAGGTGTTAACTTTCCTCCACCGATAAGGTCATCCAATGTGCAGCTTGGTGGCAAAGAAGCTAGAAGCAATCTGATGCTGCAAGATATTAAAGAGGGGTCTGTGATGACAGTTGGTTCAAGCCACTGTGGCAGCAATCAAGTTGATACTAGCCGGTTTTCAAGTAGTGCAAATAGAGGGCTGTCTGCAGCAATGATCACTGATTATACCGGAAAAATCAGTCCACAAAGTGATACAATGGACCGAGACACATTTGAACCAGCTAATACATCTTCGTCTTCAGGAAGATCGGGTAGTAGTTATGCAAGAGCATGCAATCAATCTACAGCGACCAATAGCCAGGGCCACAAAAGGAAGAGTAGAGATGGTGAAGAACCAGAATGCCAGAGTAAAGTAAGTTACAATTTGTCTTCTAAGTCTCTTGGCTTAAAGTAAGTTACATTTATCTGAAGTTCCATAATTTGCTATACAGGCTGATGAGCTAGAATCAGCTGGAGGAAACAAGTCAGCCCAAAAATCTGGAACTGCCCGAAGGAGCCGTGCTGCAGAAGTGCATAATCTCTCTGAAAGGGTAGAAGTTGTTAACCTTCCTTTCCATTTTTATATATGTTATGACTTCTTCAAGGAAATACACCTTAATCATCAAATGGATTTCTCTTCGCAGAGACGGAGGGATAGAATCAATGAGAAAATGAAGGCCTTGCAAGAGCTTCTTCCTCACTCTACTAAGGTATGGGGTTGAGGAATTTGAGGTTGATTGTACTTTTCATGGACAATATTTGTAGTTTTCATCTGATCATGGAATTGTTAGCATTTGAAAAGTACAAATAGTATCTGGCATAACCTTCATAACACGGAAAGTATACACGATCTTGATTCAATCGGCAACTGTTTCTTGGTTGATGCTAGAAAAGCATTAGTGAACCTTGTGACTGGGATTATTTGGTGCTTGTTTTTTCAGGAATTCCAAATATATGATTCCTGGCTTACTTTTTTCAGACAGACAAAGCATCAATGCTGGATGAGGCTATTGAATACTTGAAATCACTTCAGATGCAACTGCAGGTATGAACTCATAAAAACATACGGGGTGAGTTAGCGACTCATTTGTCCATGATCCAAAGGTTTCTACGTTTATCTTAAGTACAATTACAATGTAAAAGTATTCTATACTATCAATGCATTCAAACCTGTTATAGAAGGTTAAACATCTCAATATTTGTGCTTATCTTTAGATGACCTGATAGCAAATTTCGTTTACACTAACGGTGAATATAAGTTAAGCACAATGATCCTTTATGGTGATATTCAGATGATGTGGATGGGAAGTGGCATGGCATCAATGATGTTCCCTGGTGTCCAACACTACATTTCCAGAATGGGAATGGGGATGGGTCCGCCTTCGGTGCCTTCCATGCACAATGCTATGCATTTAGCTAGGCTTCCTTTGGTTGATCCAGCAATCCCTTTGACACAAGCTGCCCCTAATAATCAAGCAGCTGCAATGTGCCAGAATTCAATGTTGAATCAAGTTAACTATCAACGCCATTTGCAGAATCCCAATTTTCCAGATCAATATGCTAGTTACATGGGGTTCCATCCACTTCAAGGCGCTTCTCAGGTTTGATCTCCCACGTACCTACTTTCATCATGTACACTTCATATAAATAGAAAAACTTGTATCCTAAATTCTCTTCTCTTTTTATTTTGTGCTTTCCTTTGCAGCCTATAAACATTTTTGGCTTAGGTTCACATACAGCACAGCAAACTCAGCAGTTACCGCATCCAACTAATAGTAATGCACCTGCCACTTGAAGAGTTATCACTGAGGATACTATCAGTGTAAAATTAGGTAAGGGACTTTTCTTGCTTTACCCTTTGAAAAGTTGCATTGAGTGCATAAAGCTCTGATAATAAGGAGTACCATGACCCCTTTTCTTTGTTGGAGTCAGCTCGATTTATGACTGTTCAATTACTGTTCTAGTTTCATCGACAAGTAGTGCTTGAGTAGACCTCAGAATATAACACTTGATGCACCAAGAGTTTAACATCTTTTATGTTATCTGATTTTATAGTACTTTTCTTCCATTTTGACAGGACAGTGAAATTGCTTCATTTTGCGTAATGTTTATCATGGTACTAGACTCTAGCAATCACTACTGGAAGATCTTAAGATTTTGGGAGCTAACGTTCAAATATGTAAGAGACAACGACACCATCATAATGAAATACATGAACTTCATTGTATGAGACTCTTCTTCATATAGCAAAGCTACAAGTTTTATTCTGTAGGAGCACATTAGTAGTTGGCATATGTAACTTACTGTATATGAAAAAATTTACTGAGGAATAAGAATTCATTAAGTCTTTACATACTGATTTCTTTTTGTATATCCTGCGTATCACATTTTATATATACATATATATATATGTGTGTCAATGGAGATCAAAGTTTGCCTGTTTTGTGTGGCTAGTAGCCACGGGCAGATCTAACTTATGACTTATGAGGTAGGGGTGCCACGACACCCGCACATTTCCATTATAATTCATGATATGTATGTGAAAAATTAGATATATACGCAATGTTGCGTTTGAGTTATGTCTTTTGTTGTAAGAGGTAAGTACATGATTACACCTTCAACTTTTAAATTTTGAATCCGCCATTCAATCATATCTTGTGTTGATCTTCTTTCAATCCAATGAAAAACTAATGAGCTTTGTTCGAATTTTATTTCCCTCCAATTTACCATATACCCTGTATTAAAAATAATAATTAAAAAACAACATCTCACCAATGATTATACAAATAGATAATATTAAAATATAGACAAACGGTTCATCTAAAATAAAGAATATTAAAACATAAAGAATGGTCCATGACCCTTTCCCTATTTTAATATAAAAATGATGAGGGGGGATATTGCAAACAAACAGAAAAGATTAAATCCTTCATTAATTTGCCAATAGTTTTACTTTTACCATATATACATAGAAATAAGAATTATTATTATTATTAAAACAGAAAACGAGCCATAAATCATCTATAGTCATTCAACTCAAATATCTTCAATGACAATATTATTTTTCAATGCAAAAGTTAATGATAGAAACAAATGTATAAGATATGCTTTGTGTGATATTCCAAAGATATTTTTTTTTCCCAAAGTCAAGAAGAAGTGACCACTATTGTCTAAAAATTTTAATCATGTGTTGGTGTCCTAAGTTGTCTCTTATCATCCTATCAAGGGGAAACAAGGCAGATATCTGAGATAGATCTTCTTTAATTTTACTCCATTTAACAACCACAACCACAACTATGTAGTAACTCTTCTTTGTTTCAATTGGAAAATCAAGTCCTTTCAACATAACTACCTGAAAAGGATTGTACTAACATATTATTCCTACGCACATACATCTATTACAACAGCTACGCCTCAGTCCTGGTCAAATTAAAGTCAGTGATTGTATTGTTCCTCTTAAACTCGTCTCGGTCCAATATTATAAAACAAAAAAAAGTTTCTCAAGCACTCTAAGCGATCATTTACGATCTACAAGAAAAACACCATATTAGGAAAACTAATATCAATAATGCAAATTAAGATTAGTTATACGAAACATTATGAATATTTGAATTGTTGTATTAAATGAATTAATAGGGTGTAGTAGAATGAACTAATACTAAATATGATTGAATTAGAATAAGAATAGTACTGGTATACATAGGTTTGTTATGTATAATAATTGTATGAATCGATTAGGATGTATAACTAATAGAAAATTAATTTCCAATTAGGTATTTAAACAAATGGAAATATTTCCTTTATCAAGGTGCAACTAGTTGTAGCTAGATTCATATTGACTAGTGTTGATGCAAGTTGTGCTTCACATGCAACACTACTTTTATAGATATCTAAAGTGTTTGATAATAAAAACCATTAATTCAAAGATAGTGGTCATGTGTGGACCAACTACTATATTATGTCTATCTCTTTCTTGATGTTAGAGAGTTGGAAAAGATTGATGCCTCAATAATGGGATCCACCACTTGTAAAATTGATGCTATATATCTTTGTTTTCTATTGGTCCTACAAATTCTCTCTTCTAGTTACATTACATCTCAAACTTCATGTCAGATCATGTTCACAACAATTCCTCTAGCTACTTGGACAAGACTGATCAAGAATAAGAAAAGATGCTAAGTAATAAAAGTTTCAAAGTTAATACCATTTATAGTTATAGATTAGTGATAGATTTTAAGATAATTTAATTAGTTAAGAGTCTTTTAATGCAGTGGCGGATCCAGGATTTAAAGGTTGTGGGTACTGGCGAGATTCAAACCTTCGCCAGTGGTTTCGCGCGCCTCTTATTGCAAAGGTTTAAACCAGCTCACCAACAATTACTTTTGTTCTATGGGTGCTCATTTAAATTATAATAACATATGTATCATATTTTCTATATATATATACAAAAAATTTCGAAAATCAATGGGTGCTCGAACACCCGCGTCTGGCTTACTGGGTCCGCCCCTGTTTTAACGATGAGTTAACTAACAAAATATCGATAAATTTCGTAACTAATTTATATAATTTCTAAAACAAAGATATAGATAGGTATCACACTTTGTTGAGTCAATTATTTCCCTCCTTTCCATCCTTAAAAATCTTATTCTATATTCCATCGGCCTTTTGGTCTGAGCTAGGAGGCGCGAAAGGGATTTATTTAGATTCTTTTTATTAAAAACTTATCATATATATAGATGTTGATATTATTCTTTTTTGTGTGTGTGTTTATCGATTTCTTTTTATATTTTAAATTTATTAGTGAATATCATAACTCAATATTGACTTGAGCTTTGATTTAATTGCAAAAGTCGTACAAGTTTGGATGTACTATACGTGTATTCATCTTGCGAGTTTGAATCTTATTGTATAAATTGAGTTTAATTTTAAGTGAAAAGGATAGAAAGTAGAAAGTAGATGCTTTATTCACCAATTCTCTTGCGTAGTTGGAATCATCAAATTTCTCGATCATAAAAGAATTGTTCAATAACTATTAAGAGTCGTGTGAAATTTACAAAATGTGTAACATACCAATTTCATGAGTAGTTGGAATCATAAAATTTCTCGATCGGGATTTTGGGAGTGGGGTTGTTTGGGGGGAAGGGGGGGGGGGTTCTATAATTATTATGAGTCATGTGAAATTTACAAAATGTGTAACATACCAATTTTCATGCGTAGTTGGAATTAGGGGCTTTAATCGGTATTGTAACTTTGGTATTCGGTTAAAACTATTATATCATTTAATATTAATCTAATTCAGTATGATTTCCTATTTTAAGTTTAGTTTTGGTATTTTGTGATATGAAAATAGGTAATCATAGTTTGTTCAATTTTGATTAATATATACTCATCAAATAATTGAGTATTATGATTTTGATAAATCAAAAAAAGATCTCAATTATATCATAGTAACACATTTCACATGTAGAAATAATATATATTCAAAAGAAAGTACAACAACTCTTTTTTGTTAATTAATTACATCAGTCAAAATACAGTAGTCAAAGTTTAATTTTACTTCTACACATTTATTTTATTCTAGTATTAGATTGCATATTTATTAGTATTATATATTATTATACGATATGTTATTTCTAAATATCAAATAATGTACCAAATATCAAAAAAAAAACTTAAAATATAAACCATATACTATATCAAATACCAAAATCATGGTATCAAAAATTTAGATAGAATACGAAAATTCAGTATATACACCATGCCAACCCCTAATTGGAATCATCATATTTTTCTATCATAAAAAATAAATCTTTTTCTATAGTTATTTAGAGCTATGTGAAATTTACAAAACGTGTAACATACCAATTTTAATGCGTACTGGGTAATAATTATCAAGGGCCATGGAAAATTTAAAAAATGTGTAACATACTAACTTATATACCCAATTTTCATATGTAATTGAAATCATTGAATTTCTCAAAAAAAAAATTATTATTAATAGTCATGTGAAATTTACAAAGTGTGTAGCGTGAAGAACCATGGGGACCATGATAATGTGATCAATTATTTAATTAGAGATTAAAGAAAGAATAACTGTTTGTGGAGTATATATGATTTTAAGTTTTAACGTTTAATCAACTGTTTGTTTTTCTTGTTACTGTTAGGGGCAAAAGGATAAGAAATTTATTGTGAGCATAACGCTATTGATGATTATCATATGTATTTAAATATTTCATTGAGATAAGTGTCAAAAATACATTTAAACTATTCATTTTTTGAGTTTCATATCTTAACTATTGAAAGTGTGACCTAAATTATCATTTTTTTAGTTTGAAAAACACACCTTAGTGGAGTGTGTAGCGCATTCTCTTTTATGTGGAAAAAAAACTTTGGCACGTGGCATTCCATATTGATAAAATATTTTACTAGATAAAAATTAAATTAAAAAATTAATATTAATTAAAAATCAAAGATTATTACCCATATAAAAAATTTATTTATTTTTCCTATCTCACTCCACCACCTCCTCCACGTACCCGTCCCCCGCGATAACCTATCCTTTTTTATTAAAAAAATCATTTATAAAATATTTTTTTAAAATTTCATATTTCATCCTCCCCCTTCCCCCCCCCCCACCCCACCCCACACACACGCACATAGAAATTAAAATTAATTTTATTAAAAAAATCTACCTCATCTTATTT